GAGACTCTGTCTCAAAAAAAAAAAAAAAAAAAAAAATCATTTGGGAAGTGCATGCTAATTATGATAAATGAATGTCACCAGAAGAGGAAAAACCAGACTATTCTCTGAGTCAGGGGTCCAAACAGGAATAAAGCTAAGAAGTACTGATTGCTTATTTAATGTTATCTCTGGTCTATGATAACACTGAAACTGTAGTATGTAAAGAGCTGAGCACACTGCCTAGGACATAGTAACTGTGTAATGAATGTTAGCTGCAATTACTTTTTATTATTAGACTTTCTTTTTCTTTTTCTTTTTTTGAGATAGGATCTCAACCTGTCACCCAGGCTGGAGCGCAGTGGTGCAATCTCAGCTCACTGCAACCTCTATCTCCAGGGTTTAAGCCATCTTCCCACCTGAGCCTCCCGAGTAGCTGGGACTACAAGCGTGTGCCACCACACCTTGCTAATTTTTGTATTTTTTGTAGAGACAGGGGTCTCCCTATGTTGCCCAGGCCAGTCGTGAACCGCAGGGCTCAAGCAATCTGCTTGCCTCAGCTTCCCAAAGTGCTGGGATTACAGGTGTGAGCCATTGTGCGCATCCTATTATTAGGCTTTTCATTCATGACACTTGTTAAGTCTACTATCTTTCTAGTCAATACCTGATACAATAACTCAATAAATTTTTGTTAAACTGAATATTTGTTATGTAAAAGTAACCTATACAGCAATTTTCCTGCTAGCAAAATTTCCCAATACAAAATGCTTTTAAAAAGTCCACATTCACTCAAAATGCTTACTTTTCAATAAATCCATCTCTAGTAAAATACTCATGATGCAAAAGATCACTAGATGATATCCTGTCAGCAGGATCAATTTGTAAACAAGCCTAGGAAAGGAAAAAGATTGTAATGATAAGTGAGCTCTCAACAGGGCTCCATATGGTAAAAATTAAATTTATTTTACAAATTAAGAAGTAATTAATTATCCAGATCAAAAAGCATTCTTGAAAAGATGGAATTAGACCTCAGGAATTTCTGGTAGTAAGTTCTGACTGTTTATTTCCTTAAGGAATTTGCACTTGCAGAACATTATTATAGGTTAAATGTCCCATGATTCTAGCCAAAACAGAGGTCAGTCTGTTTCTGCTGAAATTAGCAAAAATTAATTAGCTCATTTTGATCCTCTTTTCTGCCCTGCGAGGTGGAAAGTTCATGTATAATCATTTGCATTTTACAGATCTGGAAGCATGATTAGTAGTTTGCCAAACAAGAGTTTTAACCAATGTTGTCTTGACTCCTAATCCAGCACTCTTTCTATAGCATAATACCATTTTGCAAATATTCAAGTCCCTAAATCTTTCAATAACCCATTATTAAATCAGCTCTTTTCTGTTTCCCTTTCTTGGTATAGAAACAAACAAACAAAATATGGAAGGAAGTTTTTGAATGTTAAGTTGTACATAACAAATCTGTATGTAGTTAAATAACAATAATTATAAATGGAACACATTTCTTTAATCAAAATATTGAAGACAAGTTTTGAATAAAAAGCACCTGCTTTATAATTTTCATTCCTCCTGTGAAAGGAGGTAAAACAATAATAGTTAACTTCTTTTTGTAGAGATAGGAGTCTTGTTATGTTGTGAGGCTGATGAACTCTTGAGTTTAAGTGATTCTCCTGCCTTAGTCTCCTAAACTGCTGGAATTACGGAAGAGAGCCAACATGTTTGGTTTTTAAAAATTTTTTAGAGACAGGCTTTTACTCAGTCGCCCAGGCTGGAGTGCAGTGGTGCAATTATAGCTCACTGGAGCCTTGAACTCTTTGGCTCAAGATATCCTCCTTCCTTAGCCTCTTGAGTAGCTCAGACTACAGACACATGCCACCATGCCTGACTAGTAACTTTTATTGATGCTTACTACATACCAGACAATGCTCCAGTCTTTTTCTCCATTCCATCCCAACAACAATCCTACAAAGTAAATATTATTATTATCCTCATTATACAGATGAGGAGACTGAGGCCCAGAGAGATCACATAATTTGTCTAAGATCTCATAAGGAGAGGAGCCACAATTAAAATCCAGCAAATCCAAGATAATTGTATATAATACTATGTTTCTATTTCAAAATGCATATTTAAACTGATTCACAGAAAAAAATCTAGAGATCTGCTGTACTATAATGTGCATATAGTTAAAAATGCCATACTGTACACTTAATAATTTTGTAAGAAGGTAGATTCCATATTATGTGGGTTTTTTTTTTTAACCAAAATAAAAAACATTGATTCACAAAGAGAAATTATTTAAGTCTACTACCTACTTAATGATGTGGCAGTCTTTAAGACTGCAACTAGTTGGCCAGGCGTGGTGGCTCATGCCTATAATTCCAGCACTTTGGGAGGCCAAGCGGGGTGGATCACCTGAGGTTGGGAGTTAGAGACCAGCTTGACCACACGGAGAAACCCCGTCTCCACTAAAAAAAAATACAAAATTAGCCGGGCGTGGTGGCACATGCCTGTAATCCCAGCTACTCGGGAGGCTAAGGTGGGAAAATCACTTGAACCTAGGAGGCAGGAGGTTGTGGTGAGCCAAGATCGTGCCATTGCACTCCAGACTGGACAACAAGAGCAAAGCTCCATCTCAAAATCAAAACAAAACAAACAAACAAAAATAGTTAAAAATATGTGCTCATTTTAGAACATAATGGTAATCTATCACTAAAACTTAATATGAAAAATGCTAAAAGGTCTGACCAAATCATAGAGGCAGACAATTAGAGGCAGTCCTTCTGCAAATATAATTCAGTAAATTTAAATATATGCCCTACTTTGGAAAGTGTAAAATATGACACTTGGGGAAACAGATTGGCAGTTTCTTAAAAAATTAAACATATGCCTACCCATGACCCAGCCATTCTGTTCTTAGATATTTCTGCTGGAGGAATGAAAATACACTGTGTGTTCCACACAAAGACGAACATGAATGTTCTCATGGCAACTTTATTTGTAATAGCGAAAAATGGGAAATAACCCAAATGTCCAACAACAGTGAAGGGATTTTTTAAAATGTAGTATAGTCCTATAATGAACTACTACTCTGCAAAAGAGGAACAAATTGCTGATACATACAAAAACATGAATGAATCTCTAAACCATTATGCTGAGTGGAAGAAGCCAGACATGAAAGAGTGCCTACTGTACGATTCTATTTATATAAGATTCTAGGAAATTCAAACTAATCTATGGGAAGAGAAAGCAAATCAGTGGTTATCTGGGGACAGAAATGGAAGAAAAGATGAATTGTAAAAGGACACAATGAAATTTTGGAGAGTGATGGAAATGTTAGGTATCGTGTGTGTGTGTGTGTGTGTGTGTGTGTGTGTGTGTGTTAGATATCTTGACTGTGGTGGTGGTTTCATGTGTGTATACATGTATCAAAACTCTTCAAATTGTACATTTTAAGTATGTGTAGTTTACTGTTCATAAATTATACCCCAATAACATTGTTTAGAAAATTTATATCTAGGAAAAAAAGTGCCCTACATCAGATATCAAGGTGCATTTTAAAGTTACAATAATAAATCAAAGTTGTACTACTTCTAGAATAAAGAGAAAAATCAATGTAACAGAAACAAACTCACACATGTATAAGCTTTTTGTCTATGATAAATGTAGCATTCCAAATCATTGGATGATTCTAGTTGTTTAAAAAAAAAAAAGCATATTGCAAGTTTTGCAAACGTATTGCAAAACTTATGACAAAAGATTAATGTGCTTTTTTCACAAATCAATAAGAGAAATATTTTAGTTGACACACAGGTTAAGGATTCTTTTTTTCTTTTTTTATACAGGGTCTTGCTCTGTCACCCAGGCTAGAGTGCGGTACTGCAAGCATAAATTACTGCAGTCTCAAATTCCCGGGTTCAAAGGATCCTCCTGCCTCAGCCTCCCAAATAGCTAGGACTACAAGTGGGTACCATGACACCCTACGCTTTTGATTAGAGATAGGATCTTACTATGTTGCCAAGGCATGCCTCATGCCACACCCGGGAGGCAGAGGGTGTGGTAAGCCGAGATCGCAGCATTGCACTCCAGCCTGGGCAACAAGAGCAAAACTCCATCTCAAAAAAAACAAAAACAAAAATAAAAATAATAAATAAAAAATTAAATTTTAAAATAATAAAAAGGAGTTATATAATGTTTTCATTTTCTCCAGTTCAAGACAGATTTTGGCCTTGGTGTATCTTCAGACATTAAAACTATAGCTGCTGAGGTCCTGTAGATATTTTAGTACAAAAAATATGTCCCTAACAGGGCTAAACTAAATGTTAAAAGGTAGTGATAAACATAGTAAGTCCTTAGAATTTCTCCAGTTTTTTTTTTTTTTTTGAGACAGAGTCTCTCTCTGTCATCCAGGCTGGAGTGCAGTGGCCTGATCTTGGCTCACTGCAACCTTGGCCTCTAAGGTTCAAGTGCTTCTCCTGCCTCAGCCTCCCGGGTAGCTGGGACTACAGGTGTATGCCACCATGCCCGGCTAATTATTTTGTATTTTTAGTAGAGACGGGGTTTCACCATGTTAGCCAGTATGGTCTCGATCTCCTGACCTCGTGATCTGCTGGCCTCGGCCTCCCAAAGTGTTGGGATTACACCGTGAGCCACCATGCCTGGCCCATTTCTCCAGTTTATACCTAATTATCATTAAAATAGAGATAAATTAAATATAATGAACATAGTTATCTTAGGGGGCGTTCAGCTCTGACAGTCTATGAATTTTAATTTCTCTGTACTAAAGACATAACTTTCTACAGATTACATTACTTTAGGAATCCTTTTGGAATTTCATTAAAGTGATAATTTAAAACTGTATTATAATTTATGCAAATTTCTCAGATATAAATTCTTAATTTCTCAACATACATGAACTGGCTGGGCGCGGTGACTCACGCCTGTAATCTCAGCATTTTGGGAGGCCGAGGTGGGCAGATCACCTAAGCTCAGGAGTTCCAGATCAGCCTGGCCAACCATGGCCAACATGGTGAAACCCCATCTCTACTAAAAATACAAAAGTTAGCCAGGCACAGTGGCAGGCGCCTGTAACCCCAACAACTTGGGAGGCTGAGGCAGGAGAATCTTTTGAACCTGGGAGGCGGAGGTTGCAGTGAGCTGACATTGCTCCAATGCACCCCAGCCTGGGTGACAGAGCAAGACTCTGTCTCGGGGGAAAAAAAGACATACATGAACTATATCTGCCAACAATCCATTAAGGTTTGGATATTTTTTTCTTGCATTTTTGGGGTGTTGAACTTGAGGAAGAACTACCCCAGCAAAAATGGGGCTCTTGGAAAAGATATTCTGCAAGTGAGGTGACAAATTGCCTGAAAAGAGAAAAAAAATGTATATTTTAAAAACAGAGAAATTAGTCTATAACCAAAATAATCAAATTGCTATGTGATCTACATTAGATACTAAAAACTGATATAAGGAAGAATATCAATTATGTCTTTTAATTTTTTGAAGTTGAATAAAAACTATCTGAACATGTCATAAAAAATTGAGGTTTCCTCAGGTATCTGCTGATAGCCCACAGGCAACATAAGATATAAAACCACCAGGTTTACTTGCTTTTCCCAAACTATAAGACATAATATGTAATGCTGTCAGAAAATGCACATTCCAACTTTTATGCATTTCCATGTGGTATCCAAATGATTTTACTATTAAGTGTTCCTCAGCAAAATACATTGAAACCTTACTCAAAGTAGCTAAAATATTAAAGGTATGTAGAAATCAAAATATTGCAAAAAAAGAAACAAGGCTAGAGTAGTAGCAGAACGGAAAGAACTATAAATATGAGTGGAGGGAACTAAGTTCTAGCAGTTTTGCTATAACTAGTTCTGTGACCTTGGGTAAATCCCTTCCTTTTTGTGCTTGGTTTTCCATTCTGTGAAATGATAGGATTAAACCCCACCATCTAAGGTTCCTTCTGATATTAATCTCTTAACCAGAACTTCTTAAAAGACACAAAAAAGTGAGGTGTCTTAAGGCTCTAAACTATATCTTAAATCAATAATTATCCAGGTTTCACTGTTTTTAGAATTGTTCATAGTATCTTCCTCATAATCCTGTAATTACAAATTTATGCATACCTTCCCCACCACACAAAGAGCTCCTCAAGCTTCTCAGTCAGGAATAGTAAAAAATAAATCTTAGCCAGGCACGGTGGCTCACGCCTGTAATCCCAGCACTTTGGGAGGTCAAGGCGGGCAACATGGCAAAACCCTGGCTGCACTAAAAATGCAAAAATTAGCCGGGCATGATGGCATATGCCTGTAGCCCCAGCTACTTGGGAGGTTGAGGTGGGAGAATCACCTGAGCCCAGGAAGTCGAGGCTACAGTGAGCCATGCTTGCACCACTGCACTCCAGCCCAGGTGACAAAGTGAGACCTTGTCTCAAAAAAATTAAAATTTAAAATTAAAAAAACCCACAAACCTTGAAATAGCACATTCAAGGCTAACCATCATAATGTTTTGGTGGCCAAAGCAGATCATCAAATAAACTCTCATCAAATATATTCTTTTTTTTTTTTTTTCTGAGACAAAGTCTCATTCTGTTGCCTAGGCTGGAGTGCAGTGGCGTGATCTCAGCTCACTGCAACCTCTGCCTCCTGGGTTCAAGCGATTCTCATACCTCAACTTCCTGAGTAACTGGGATTTCAGGCGCTTGCCACCACACCTGGCTAATTTTTTTTTTTTTTTTGTATTTTTAGTAGAGATGCAGTTTCACTATGTTGGTCAGGTTGGTCTCCAACTCCTGATCTCAGGTGCTCTGCCTGCCTTGGCCGTCCCAAAGTGCTGGTATTACAGGCATGAGCCACCATGCCCAGCCTTCATCAAATATGTTCTTGAATAAGTTATTTAGCTATCTGGCTGTCTATTATTGTTTTCTTTAAAAAGAAGGGTGGTTTCTGAGTAAATAATTAATTTTCTATTTCCCAGTGCTTTAAAAAAGCATCTGACTCAACTCTACTATTTGAAGTCCTTATATAGAGGTACAAATATTTGAAAAAGCCTAATTTAAAAACAACTTTTAGACAAATTAAAGTACATTCCTATTGTACTATTCTTCTTAGCATCAACAATCAACACATGGCTTAGCTATTTATATCCTAGCAAAGAAAATATTATTTGCAAAAACAGAGAATTTTCTGCCTTCTTTATCAGCCCAAGGAACCCATCTGCTGTCATCTATCAAAACAATATGCTTCCCTGTTCTTACACAGAATAGCTAAATTTGAAAATCAAGCAGAATTGATCTGGCAATATTTATTTTAGACATGTAACTCATGCTATTTCAGTAATACCTACCCACTTTCAAAACAATTTTATGGAGTAAATCCAAATCAGAGCTACTAGGAAGATAGGGATTTCCAGTGGCCATCTCAATGATCATACAGCCCAAAGCCCAGATATCCACAGGTCTGAAACAGATCAGGGAAAAACAAATCACTTTTTCATGTAGAAATATATAAATATATTCTTAAAAATATGTTTAAAGAAGGCTAAAGAAACAAGTGGTATCATTTGTAAGTTTTGTTTTGTTTTTTTCGAGACAGTCTTGCTCTGTCACCCAGGCTGGAGTGCAGCGCCGTAATCTCAGCTCACTGCAAACTCTGCCTCCCAGGTTCAAGCAATTCTCCTGCCTCAACCTCCTGAGTAGCTAGGACTACAGGCACCACCATGCCCGGCTAATTTTTGTATTTTTAGTAGACACGGGGTTTCACCATGTTGGCCAGGCTGGTCTTGAACTCCTGACCTCGTGATCCACCCGCCTCAGCCTCCCAAAGTGCTGGGATTACAGGCATGAGCCACCGTTCCCGGCCCATTTGTAAGTTTTTATTGTAGATCATATACCAACTTTATAAGAATTGGTAACTGCTATATTGGTGAGGCTATCAGAAAGAAATAGTCCCAAGTACTGTTCTGGGAGTGTAAACTTATATGACTTCTTTGGAGGAAAAATTGGCAAAAGCCACCAAAATTGAAATTGTATATGCTTTTGATTGTACAATTTTATTCCTAGGAATTTATCCTAAGATATACTCACATGTGTGCATAAATATAAATTACATGAGAATTTCACTGCGGCACTGTTCGTGGAAGAAAAAGATTGCAAACAACCTAAACATCCACCTATAAGGGAATGGCTAAGAAAATTTTTGTACCAACCCACAATAAAATATTATTCATCTGTTAAAAATGATGAGGTCTGGCCAGGCACGGTGGCTCACACCTGTAATCCCAGCACTTTGGGAGGCCGAGGTAGGCAGATCACAAGGTCAGGAGTTCGAGACAAGCCTGACCAACATGGAGAAACCCCGTCTCTACTAAAAATACAAAATTAGCCAGGCGTGGTGGCACATGCCTGTAATACCAGCTACTCGGGAGGCTGAGGCAGGAAAATTACTTGAACCTGGGAGGCGGAGGTTGTGGTGAGCCGAGATTGCGCCATTGCACTCTAGCCTGGACAACAAGAGCAAAACTCTGTCTCAAAAAAAAAAAAAAAGAAATTGATGAGGTAGATCTATCTATATGTGCTGAAATGGAATGATGTCCAAGATAAATTGTCAAAAGAAAAAAGCAAATTCATAAAAGAAATCAAAGATCTAAATAAATGGAGAGATACTCCATGTTCATCGATAGGAAGACTCAGTATTGTCAAGATGTCAGTTCTTCCAAGCTTTATGTAATGAGTCAATACAATCCCTATCAAAATTCCAGTAAATTAAAAATTGATAATTATGTGAGGTAACACACATACGTAAATTAGCCAAATTTAGTCATTTTACAACGTATTTATACCTCAAAGCATCATGCTGTACACAATATATACATACAATTTAATCTGTGAATTTAAAAAAATCCTAGGAAATAGTTTTGTAGATATTGACAATTGATTGGAAAGTTTATATAGAGAGGCAATAGACCCAGAATAGCCAACACAATTTGAAAAAGAATAAAGATCAAAACTACTTGACTTCAAGATGTTTTAAACAATAAGCAAGATAGTATGGTATTGGTGAAAGAATAGATAAATAGATCAAGGGAACAGAATAAAGAACCTAGAAATAGACTTGCACAAATATGATCAACTGATTTTTGACAAAGGAACAGAGGCAATTAAATTTTTTAAAAAAAGATAGTCTTTTCAACAAATAGTGCTGGAACATACAAAAAACTAAATCTAGACACAGATCATATCCCTTTCACAAAAATTACCTCAAGATGGATGATAGACCTAAATATAAAATGCAAAACTGTAAAACCTCTAGACGATCACATAGGAAAAAATCTACATGGCCTTAGGTAATGAGTTTTTAGATACACCACCAAAAGTATAATTCACAAAAGAAAAAATTGATGGGTAGAACTTCGTTAAAACTAAAAATTTCTGCTCCATGAGAAATACCGTTAAGCAAATGAAAAGCAAGCCACAAACTAGGAGAAAATATTTGCAAAATAATAATGAACTTGTATCCAAAATACATAAAACTCTTAAAATTCAGCAATAAGAAAATAACCCAATTAAAAAATGGGCAAAATAAACAAATACACAATTCACCAAAGAAGATACACAGATGGCAAAGAGGCATATTAACAGATGCCATCATATGTCATCAGATAATTGCAAATTAAAACAATAATGAGATACCACTACACACGAATGCCTAAAATCCAAAATACTGACAACATCAAATGCAGGTGAGGATGGCAAACAACAGGTACTCTCATTCACTGCTGGTTGAAACACAAAATTATACAGTCACTTTGGAGGACAATTTGACAGCTTCTTACAAAGCTAAACATAGTCTTACCATATGACCCAGCAATTGCTTTCCTTGGGATTTACCCAAATGAGTAGAACACTTCTCTCCACACAAAAACCTGGACATGAATGCTTATAACAGCTTGCTTCACAATTGCCAACACATGGAAGCAATAAAGATGTCCTTCAATAGGTAAGTGGATAAACAAACTGTGGTACATACATATAATGGAATATTATTATTATTATTATTATTATTTTTGAGACGGAGTCTCACTCTGTCACCCAGGCTGGAGGGCAGTGCCGCGATCTCGGCTCACTGCAAGCTCCGCCTCCCGGGTTCATGCCATTCTCCTGCCTCAGCCTCCCGAGTAGCTGGGACTACAGGCACCCGCACCACGCCCGGCTAATTTTTTTGTATTTTTTAGTAGAGACAGGGTTTCACCATGTTAGCCAGGATGGTCTCGATCTCCTGACTTTGTGATCTGCCTGCCTTGGCCTCCCAAAGTGCTGGGATTACCAGCATGAGCCACCACGCCTGGCCTATGGAATATTATTTAGCAATAAAAGAGAAGTGAGCTGTCAAGACACCAAAAAAAAAAAGGAGGAACCTTAAATATATATTGCTAGGTCAAAGAAGCCAGTCTGAAAAAGCTACATACTATGTGATTCCAACTATATGATATTCTGGAAAAGCCTAAAGTACAGTAACAGTAAAAAGATCAATGGCTGCCAGGAGTTTTGGGAGAAGGAGGGAAGAATAAAAATGAAGCACAGAAGATTTTTAGGACCATACAATTATTCTGTATGATACTATAATGATGGATACATGACATTATACATTTATCAAAACCCAGGAAATACAACACAGAGTAAACTCTATGGAATTTAGTTAATAATGTATCAATATTGGTACATAATTGTAACAAATGTACCACACTAATACAAGATGTTAGTAATAGAGAAATGTGTAGAGTAGGGTGGAGGGGACATAAGGAAACTACACTTCCTGTTCAATTCTTCTGGAACCTAAAATTGGTCTAAAAATTAAAGCCTCTGAATATAAACAAATAAAAAGTGGCAGGACTTGGTGGCTCATGTCTGTGGTTCCAGCAACTTGGGAGGCTGACGCAGGAGGATCACTTGAGCCTGGGAAATCAAGGCTGCAGTGAGCCATGAGTATGCCACTGTACTCCAGCCTGTGAGACAGAATGAGACATTATCTCATAAGTAAATAAAGAAGAGTGGGGAGGGAAACCAAGATTCTATACTATGTATATAGTATGCTCCTATTTCTGTTCAAAAAGAAGAAGATGGAGAAGTATGCGTATGTATGTGTGTACACTGCTAGATAATGACCTAAGAAATAAAGGAATTAACTATAATACATAGTTTTTCAGATCTACATTATAACCATGGATGATATAATAGTAACTTATAAACTTGCTTATTTCACAAGTTTTAATTGTTAAGTTTTAATTTAATTGTTATTTAATAACAGGTTTTGAGAGTGATTGTACAAGTTTACATTTCCCCACCAGTGTATGTGAGTTCTAAATGCTCCACTTACATTGGTATTTACTGTCTTTTTTTCAATTTAACCATTCTGGTACCACCTTGTGATATAAGTTTGCATCTTTCTGATGACTAATAAAAGTATGAGCTTTCACATTTTAAAAAAAAACAAGTTTTAACTCTCAAGCTTTAAGTTACTTATTATTATTACTATTTTTAATGTTTTTTTTTTTTTTTCTTTTTTTTTTTTGAGATGGAGTCTCGCTCTGTCACCCAGGCTGGAGTGCAGTGACGTGATCTCTGCTTACTGCTCTTCTCCTGCCTCAGCCTCCCAAGTAGCTGGGACTACAGGCACCCACCACCATGCCCGGCTATTTTTTTGTATTTTTAGTAGAGACGGGGTTTCACCGTGTTAGCCAGGTTGGTCTCCATCTCCTGACCTCATGATCCGCCCGCCTCGGCCTCCCAAAGTGCTGGGATTACAGGCGTGAGCCACCGTGCCCAGCCAAAGTTAATTATTTTTAAGTACTCTCTCCACAGAATGCAATTTCTATGCACCTCCTCCACTACTAAAAGAGACACTAAAAACATTCCTACACAAAGCAGTTCGCTTTTCCCCAGCTTGACCTGAAATTTCACAGTACAGTTTAGTAAGGTAAGCCATTATCTGCAGAAATTTAAAGCATTATCTAGGCAGGCCTTTCAAAGAGCAATAGAAGACAGACCATGTCTAGTTAATTATCATTGCAGCAGTAATCTTAAAGGGATTTTCTGAAATATGAGCAAGTCCTAGTTAGCTGTAGAGAAAACTTCTCCCCTTCACTTCAACTACAACATTTTGCAGAAAAAGAGCTGTCCAGTAGAAAAAACGAAAACAAAATTAACCTACTAAGGAAAGTAAAGATATTAGACTTAAGCCTTGATCAAGAAAAGTAGATCCAAAAAAGCTTAGGTTTAACATGCAGGGGTAAGAGAGGATTAAAAAAACAAACAGGCATATGAACTTCTAGCATGACAGAGTGAAGAGATCAGCTGACCTACTCTCTTACTAGTTTATCATTGAAACTAGTATTTTTTTTTTCTTTAAGATGGAGTTTCATTCTTGTTGCCCAGGCTGGAGTGCAATGGCGCAGCCTCAGC